GGTGCCTGATGAAGACTTTGGGATATACGTTTGTTGTCCTGAAAAGATTTTTTTTTTTTTTTTTTCTGACCAGCTATCTGATGCCCAGCAAGATGAGAGGAGAGGCTGCACTTTCAAATTACTTTTCAGGTGTTGCCCCTGAACTTATTGAGATACAAGGGTCTCCATGAGGGCGAGTACTATGAAGTATACACAGGTTTTGTTATCCCATTTCTCGATGCAAAATATATGCATTTTTTTGCATTCCAGTAAATACAGACTAATTTAACGTAGCTTGCCTGAATAGGTAAATGCAAAGCAACCTTTGGATTGTAAATGTTTGAAGAGTGTGTATGGAGGGGGAGACTATATTATCTTTGAGTAAATGTGATATGTGTATCCTGGTCAGATATTCTTAATCCACCCCATATCCCCTCTAAGGATTTATCTATTACTGTCAGAATGGTCACAGGCAGGAGTTTGTCAATCTCTGCCACTGTCGTAAAATATGTGGTCCATTTTAAATATACTTCTTATAGTCTGGGGTATTCAATTTATATTTTTTTTCTTCTAGTTCCCCACCTTTTGTCAACTGGTCCTTGCATTTGGTCTTTGGTCTTAAGCTTATTTTATTGCTTAGAGAACAAACCTCTGCTTTTGCTTGTTAGGAAACCAAGCTTCCCTCACGGAAGCATTATGTATGCGGACTCGAATAGATGCAAGCTTATCTTGTTAATTCTTATTGCCAGAAAGGAGTAATTAGAAAAGAAAGAAGTCCTTTTCTCTTCTTTGGAGGCAGCATCTGATAGTAGGAGTGCTTTAGAGCTCTTTTCTATACAGTTTCTGCAAAGGAAGAGATGGGGAGGCAACAAGGCTGTGAGGCAAAAAGGCTGTGAGGCAACTTTTTTATGGGGATTAATGAGCCAATTTCCAAAGGCTTGGCATTAATGAACATATGTTTGACTCTTTATCAAGGAATTAGGAGACTAAACTGTGATTGCAGATGATAGTTTGGACTGCTTTCCCTTCGCTTCTGTTTAGCAAGAACAATTCAATTCATTTTATTACAACTTTGTCTCAAAAAATGTAGTTTAGAAGCTGTTCAGTTATTCCTGCTGCTGAAGCAGACCTCAGTCAAAGGAGGAGGTTGGATGTCTGAGGGTGGTTTCTGCATCAACCCTCTGTTCTGCTACTGTGGTACGAGTCAAAGCCCACAATTCTCCTTCTCTCCATCTCCCTCCCCTCCACCCTCCCAAATCTAGATGGACTGGCTGGGGTATCTTTAGGGTGGGCCCTTGGTTTTACTTAATCCTTTTTCACCCATGCTAGGAAATAGGGATTAGTCCAGGGAGGGTTTACTCCTTGTACTCCAACCCAGTACAGGACCAGGTGATGCATGTGGCTCACACAGGGAGAGTAAATCGATTCATTCTATTCCCAGATTTCCTTAAATAGGCCTGCTGTGCTTTTGTATCTTAAAGCTTTCTATAGTGCTTGTCTTGAAATCCCTTTTCCTCTTGGCATAGAACTTCATTTTGTTCCTAAATCTTCATGTTATAATGATGTTATTTACAGGCACAGTACTTTTACTTTTCTGTGCCTTTTAGTATCTAGCATAAGAGGAATCTGTGACATCTTGGTGGTGTTCCTTTTTAGCTCCTGTGAAGAAGGAACAACAGAGTTCAAAAGAAAAACTTCTCTAGGGGCACAGTCTTGGCAGCTGACTGGAATGTGCTTCCAGCTTCTTTGTCAATAGCAGAGAAAGAAAACAGGCTTTGAGCTGAAGTCACTTAACTCCTCTGGGAAGAGGAGACAAAAAAAAAAAAAAAGCTGAACAGAAACACAAAAACTTAAATGAGTTGTATTCTGTGCAATTACAAAGAATAAATATTTAGAATTTTTTTACTGATCAAGTATACATATACAGTAATGCTACAGTGGGCCAAGAGAAGCTATTTATCCAGTGCTGTTCAGACTCTATTCTTGAACCATGATAAATCTGTAGGTGTGTCAGAGATCAGAATGTAGATCTATGAGAAAAGTTATAAAAATGTTGTTGACGTGGTTGCCATTGCCACAGAGAATGACACTATAAGGAAAAAAGCTCCCAAATAAGAAATGTTCTCCCTGTTCTTATCTGGGAGATGATAGCTGGTCTTATTCATTATTGTGCTAGGCTATGAGACTAAAAGGCTCACTGCAATATTCCTATTGCTAAATAGGAATATTTGTGGGTTTAAGTAGACATTTTCCTCTTCTTGTCTTTCCCCACGGTAAATTACATGTGCAAAATATTCCACGTTTTTCTTACATCCATTATGGATTTCTTGTGGGTAAACTACTTCCAAAAAGATTTGATGAAGAGCCTTTTGTTTGCTTGAACAAGAAGAATTTACAAGAAATCATTGTTTAAATTGAAGTAATGTTCACAAAAACAATTCTGTCAGTGTCACTTTCTTGGTGAATTTCAATGTTCTACTTTACAAAATACACATCATCTCAAAGATTTCTGCTTTCTTTAGAGCAAAAAGCCTTCAAATTTTAATAGAAACTCTTTCTATTTCCATTTTATGGAAATGGAAAAAACAGATTCTTTCTTCTGTGCTCTAATGGTAACGCGGGTTTCAAATTTCCCCTTAAACTGCTGCTACAGATTATTTGAGTCACTGTTACTTCATATATGTGTATGAAGGCATTTTTATTTTCTAAGCAAGTGTTGAACCAACCAATCTTTTTTTTGCAAATGATTTACCTAGTGCTTTTAATAATTGTATGCTAGTGTTTTTAATAATTGTATGACACAAATGAATCTTGCTACGAATTGGGAGTCTGTTGTGCTATCAGAATAGTGCTATTAGCATCAATCAAGTATAAAATCTCCTAATGTCAGTCTTGCTCTTAAAGGAAAACTTAAGGTACCTCAAAGGTACCTTAACAGGTACCTCAGGTACCTGTTTAAAGTAGAACAGTCCAGGAAGAATATGCTGGTGTCCTGAAGTTCTTCCTTATCAGTCCCAGGCCCTCGCAGTGACCCTGCTGCTAATGCAGAATTTCTCACCTGCCCACAGGCTGTCTGCCCAGAACGGAGCAGCTTGTGGAAGTGGCTGCTCAGCATGATTTTGTGTGTTGTGAAATATGGCTTCAAGAACCAGTGTTGACAATCAGTGCTCAAAATGAAAGAGCAAATTAAAATAGGAATAGAGTTTGCCTATTTTTCTTTCTGTGTTTTAGTTTGATATTAGTTGGTATGCTACTGTCAATAGTATGAGTCTTCCATGGAGGGAAGGAAATCTTAATTTTTAAAATTTTTTTTAACAAGAAAACCTGATAAACATTCACCAGATATGGCATCAGTTATAGCTGCATTTTGTATTAATTTGGGGGGAAATTGTGGAGACCAGAAAGTGTTTTTAATTGAGATTTTGAGGAACTCTTTGAAAATAAAACTGGTGAGAGTACATATACTACACACACTCGCAATGGTTTTTGTGCATAGTTACAGAAAAATGTATATTTCAATATGTGTATAAAAAGAGAAAGACCAAGGCTATTTGGTACTTGGGCTAGTTGGTCCACAGGAAGAGAATTTTTTTTTTAACATAACACTTTGAGACTTTTTTATATGTGTATGTTTCATTTTTAGTGTGAGACTTCGATCAGAAGTGTGAAGTATTCTCAGTGCATTAGTGTGGTTAACAGTTGAGATGACAAGATGAAGGGCTCTCCTTAGGAGATAACATGCAGAATTTTCATAAAGCAGCAAAATCCCCTTTCTAACTTTTTTTCTTTTTGCAAAGAAAGCATGAGCAGCTGGGTGGGAGCGTGAAGAATGAGGGCTTTGGTACGGAATGTCTTGAGAGCGAAAATGTTCACGCTGGCGAGCGAGAGGAGGTAATCGCCTTGTTCTGAGGAGCGCAGAAAATGGGATGTGTATCAAAGCCTGTCACAGTATTTGAAAATAGAAAAATCATGGAAAAGTAGATCATAAAATAACAGAAATGCTTTGTGCAACACCACCTCATTGTAAAGATTACTAACATTTGGGAGGCAACTGAAAGCAAAGGATGGTGGACATGCCCAGCATTCTTRCTCCTCTGTTTTTGTCAGTGGCAACGTTTTCAATATCAGGAACTTACTGTAAGAGAAACGTATTTACTGCTTTTACCATTGCTAGGAGATGCTTTGATATGCTGATGATATGCTTTAACAATTCTGATAAATATCTATTCCTGTATGAAACAGAATGAGCAAGTTGACTGAGTTTAATGTGCCCACAGAAGGCTGTAAAATGAAGGGCTCAGGCAGGGCTCTTGACCCCTGATCTGCGGTATAGTCTAATCTTCTTCTTGCCCACCCTCATGAGCCAATATTTGTGCAACCCGTTAGGCAGCTCTCAGCTGTTAAATTAATATATTAATTAAAGTTTCATTTTTGTTAATGTTACAAACGGAATCCTTTGAAAGCTTGGTTATGTGACATCTTCTAGCTGCCTACTATATACARACTGCACAAGGAAGTTGCAAAGATAATTTTATTTTAAAAAAGGAGCTTAATTTAATCATGACTCCTTCAAAAACTGTTACAGTTGYCCAAACAATGGCTTTATATATTGGAAGTGAGCAGTCATTTGAAACTGATCCAACAGGGAAACTTTACCTGATTTTTCAGACAAAATGAAAGTAGAAACGGAGACGTATAGTTAAAGTGAGATACATAATGGTAAGCTGAATGAACAATGGTAAATGGTTCATAAGTAGGTAAAATATCAGAAGGCATTGATATAATAACGTAACGCAAATAAATTTTTGGGGTGGGGAAAAGAAATTCTGGATAGTTTCATACTATTATCTTTATTTTAAGAAGCTGATGTCATTATATGGGATATTTTTATTAGGTTTAGCTAAAAGGTATGGCTTATGGACCGTTGCTGGCTTGTATATTTGATCTTGTGACAAAAAATGTGAATGGAGTGGATTCTAAAAGTTAGCCATGTTTATGCTTATATTTATTTCAATCTTCAGATTTCCTTTTTAAGTTCTTGGTCATTGGAAATGCTGGAACTGGAAAATCCTGTTTGCTACATCAGTTTATTGAGAAGAAATGTGAGTATATGTGCTTGTCATAAGAGTTCTCCCTTGTACAACAGGTTCTGTTGAAGATGTGTTGAGGTTCTATAAGAGTRTTTGTAGTAGTAAGAACTGCATGGATATTAATCTCATCTGTTTGGGTAGATGATAATTTTGCTTTACAATTACTTTCAAAACAATGCTGTAAATCTCCAGTTTCTCCCTAATCAAAAGCTTGGTCTTGAGCAATATCTCTGTCATAGGTCAACTAMATATAACGAGATGTTGATGGAAAACACATGCATTATGTGAAAAGTAAAGTTTGCTGTTATCATTTATTTGGGGAAGATTATAAGTTCTCAAACTCTCCCTAGAGATATTAAGCAGATGAAAGAAAAAGTGAAATTGTTTAAGTGGATCTGGAAAGGTTGTTGCATAGCATTCAGATCTCCCAACATCCAGTCTCTTTCTAAAATCCCTAGGTTTTCTGTGTGCTTTAAATATCATGTTTTGTGTTAAATATTTGGTAGAGGCCCTTCTAACATGATATTAGTGTACGAGATGTTATTGGATATGGATAGATAGGAAAGAAAATTTCTCTTTAAATGCACTCTTAAATTACATTGGAGTATTGGAAAGTACAGCTGAAGAGGACAGGCAGAAATTTTCCCATAAYTTGATAATGGGAGCAAATAATAGTTTGATTAAACTACTAGTAATTATGATTTGAAGAGGATGTTAAAAATATTGTAAGAAATCTTTATTTCTGAATGTGGACAAGTCTTATGAATTGTGTAGACTTTTTTGATCTTTCAGGAGGTAGTTTGTAGTTTCAGCAGTGTAGATTTTTGATCCTGCCTAAATAGAATGATGTAAAGCCACTTATTTGCTGTAATTATTCGCTAAATATTGCTGTGCTTTTCCTTTTTTTAGTCAAAGATGACTCCAATCATACTATAGGAGTTGAATTTGGTTCAAAGATCATAAATGTTGGTGGTAAATATGTAAAACTGCAAATATGGGATACAGCAGGACAAGAGAGATTCAGGTATCCTTTTCATTCATCTTAATAAATGTTGTTAACCTTGCATTATGGGGGCTGGCTAATGTTTATCTCAACTTATAAATAGGCACTGCTTCTGATTCAGTAGAACTGGATGTCTGCTTTGCTGCTGCTAACTAGGACAGATCTTCCACGTTGGGCATACAGATATATATTTTTTTCTCCAGTAAAGTGGTGCTAACTTGTGAGAAATGAGCTCCCACTCTTGTTTTCATTGGGTAAAGCAATCTGTGTGATAGCTAAGGTACATRCAGTGAAAAGCTTGTTTGCTAGCCAAACTGAAACTTTTATTTTTTTAAATGAGGTATGTGCTAAACTCTGTTTAGATTTTCTCTAGGTTGGAAGAAGTAAATACTAGAAAGTTGTAAGTGAATCAAGTTGTTACCTAAATCCAAGTTATTTAGCATAGCTTATTTCACATTATTTAATTTAAAACTCCTTAAGAGAGCTGCCTGCCATAGTGTTTATTATGTTAACTTGGCCTTGAAACAATGAAAATGTTACAGAAACACACATCTGTAATTCTATTGCAGGTCTGTGACAAGAAGTTACTACAGAGGTGCCGCAGGTGCTTTGCTTGTCTATGATATCACCAGGTAATAAAATTGACAACTCTGTTTAATGGCTGTCAGATACAAGTAAAAAGACTTCTGTTCTAAACAATATGTATGTAAGTTTTGGGGTTTACATGAAGTAGTGTGAAGTCCGTATGTGTCAACGTTCTCAGAAAGGAATTAAACAATATTATGGGGACTGTTTTAATTGTGACAGACTCTGTGCAATTCCACCATTGGCTCAGGAAGCTCTGTGAACACTCGTTGGAAACAGAGTAAAATTGGGGAAGATCACAGGTGCAAGTGTTATGCTATTCTCCAGGTGTCCTTTACACTTGTGGCTTTGCTCAATTTCATAGCTTCAGAACAAATAATAATCTTGACACTGACCACAGGGGAAAAGAAAAGCAGATTTTTAGCACCTTTTGATTAAAGAAGTACCTCCCTTGGGGAAGCTGCTTATTAGCACACTGGTACAACAGGACATCCTCTAGAGAGGCTGCTCATTCCCTAACTATAGCCCCCAAATCTGTTTGTCTCTGCATCTTTTTTATATACATACATATGTGTATGTTATACTTGGCCAATGGAACACTTCTCCATTATACATGGTCAATTTATTTTCTGGCTGTCATTAACTGATACTGGTCAGATAGATTTGGTGTTTGATTAATGGTAATTTATTAAGTGTCTTTTTTACCATTCTCCTCCCCCAGATTAGTGGGCTGTTTTCTTTATAATGTGCATTTATAATGTGCCATGAGGATAAGAAGTTTTTAGCATCCCCTTTAAAACCTCATTAATTCCATGCTAGACAATAGTTCAGTCCATTATTCGTAGAATTCACACACAAGTTGAAGCTAGATAAGGCACATAGAATTTTAGCTTTTTGTATTACCAAGATATTTTGGGTTTTTTTTCCTGCAAACTGTTTTTTACACTATTAATAACCAGTTACTACTTCTCAGATGCTGCAAATAGACTAACTTAGCTCACCATGCTGTGTAAATGTTCTTTGGTCTCCTGTTTCCCTTTGTCTGGAATTGCCACTCTGAAACGTACTAGCAGTGGTTCCAGAGAGCTTTAGAGCTTTAAGTGGGAGTGTTTCAGTAAAACCTTGTCAGACCTAGTGTCCAGCTCAGAAATTATTAATGCAAATGATCATCTCGGGAGCAGAGGCAGTGAAGCACTATATGCCTCATTCTCAGAACTGTGGTACACTGGGAGAAGTAATCTGGAGGGGGCTGCTTCCTAAAGGACCTAACATGAAACTGCAGCACTTGGCTTAGATCTCTTGGCACAGAAACTGTCGAGAGGAATTTGGGTGCCTTTGTGGTCAATCTAATTTTGATTTGTAAAAACCTTAATTTTTAATTTTTGAGTAGTTTTATGAAGGAGCTTGACACAGCTTACAGATGGCAGATCTGAGATCTATGGATGGCTTGTGTGGCAGCAATTTGTAGCTCGCACAAATGTAACTCTGAATTTTAATCCAGTCTGACTTCCTAATCTGTTCACTCACCATGTTTATGCTCTAATAAAGGATGTTATTTCCTACACAGCCGAGAAACCTACAATGCACTTACCAATTGGTTGACAGATGCAAGAATGCTAGCCAGTCAAAATATTGTGATAATACTCTGTGGAAACAAAAAGGATCTTGATGCAGATCGTGAAGTTACTTTTTTAGAAGCATCYCGCTTTGCCCAAGAAAATGGTAAGTGGTACATAAGCTCTTCCTGTAGTGTTGAAAGATGCTTAATACTTAAAAGGATTTATTTTCTATGCAGCTACAGCCTGGTTTTTTTGTCCACTGCATCTTGTAAAAATATGTATAGAAAATAGTTCTGTCAGGRCATGAGGCACAGAGGAAGAAAAATGCTGGTAGTGAAAAATACATGTACTCTTYGATTCCCGGTACCAGCCACAACTGCTACTTAAAGGATATCTTCTGTAGTTAGAAATATTGCTTAGTGAGTGTGTATAGTTGTGGGCATGGCTTCTAAAGGGCTGGAGAGAAAATGAAGAGTAATGTTTTTCTAGTTTCATCTTACAGATCTACAGATAGTGTTGGAGGGAGCGTGCCGCAGATGGAAGTAATGCCTTTGACCTGTGGGAAAAGGGGGTTCCAGGCATGGCATGTGTCCAGAGGACTGTTACCCAGGCTGCAGTATTCAGAATTTTCCCTCTTTGAGGGCRTGCTTCTGTGACAGCTAAAGCCAGGCTCAGTCCAAGCTATTGTGCTACACCCTTTCTATCAGTAAAATGGCTTTATATTGATTATATATATATATATATAATTATTATAATATATATAAAATATATATATTATTATAAATGTCTTATATATTGATTATAGTTAATTATGTGGAATGACTTAGTTGGTTTTACATGCCAGCTTGCCCACAACTCATGAGTACCCCATTTTGGTACTYTGAAATCTATGTGCTTCCCTTAGAAAACGAGGAGATATATGTGGTGGTGGTGAGAGGAGCTTGCTTTGTTGTGAAAGTGGGTTAAATGGGAAAAAAGAGGGAAATTAATTTTTTTTTCAAGATAAAGAATGCATCATTCTTGTAATCTTTGTGGTTTCAGTTGCTCCATGATACTAAGAGTATTAGTAAGAGACCTGACTTGAGATTGTTTTCTGTTGTCGTATGCAGAGCTGATGTTCTTGGAAACCAGTGCACTAACAGGGGAAAATGTTGAAGAGGCCTTTGTACAGTGTGCAAGAAAAATACTCAATAAAATTGAATCAGGTAAGTTGAGATCACTATTCTAACTCTGATACTTTGACTTTTGGAAATTAAAATGCACCTGAAATACCACTATTGAAATGTTTGTAATAGAATTTAGCAAAATCTTACTGCAGTAAAATAGCCTGCTTGATTTGCAGCTGATAGCACTTTGTTTTAATAAAAAATGAGCAGGCAGAAGGCTATACCAAAAGGGAAGCAGGGAGAGCAGGAATATGTGATGTTTTTACAAAGTTTGCCTTAATAGTCAGCTCTGAGCATAGGCTGAGCACTGTGTGGGTTGCTGGGTCCTCACAAGCGCAACCTTTTAATATCAAGCTTTAGCAGAACGAGACACTGGTATGAGGGCACCCATAACCCCTAATTCTGCTTCTCGTGTATAAAAGGGAAACTGGGTCAAGAGAACTGAAACAGTAACACTGAAAACACCAGGGATGTTTCCTAGCAACTTACGTTTCTCGGGAAACCTGCTTGAAACCATTTTGTTTTCTTTTGCAAATCTAGAAATGCAATCTAGAAATAGGCTCCCAAGTGCAGAGTGTCATTAGAGCTCATCTGCATTGCAGTTCTTACTTTCTAGTTACCTGATCTCTGTCTTTTTTAAATTGCAATTTTGAAGTCTGTCTGATGGACACATTTTGAATGCCTGTCATTTGTTTTTTAATTTAAAAGAATATAGCACTTTCATGGGAATTCCCTGATTATTGTACCAAATGGCAARCCAAATATTTGATTTTAAAGCAGAAGAATGGAAGGGTAAGGCAAAGAACAATGTTCTCATGGTGCTGCAGCTCCTCGAGTGGTTTAGAGACAKTACTAGGGCAGCTTTAAGTCATGCCTTCTGCAGACTGCTTGTCCTCTCCCTTGTGGCAACAGCCAGCCAGAGAATCATGGAAAAATTGAGGGAAGGGCCCTAACAGGCTGGTAGTGTGGCCTTCTGCAGGAGGAGGCGGCCTCTGAGGCAGGGTCAGCGTTGAAGTGAGAGCAGGTTGCTGCAGGCCATGCCCAGGCTGACTTTGAGAGCTCTCCAGGAACAGTGGCTCCACAAGGCTTATCACAAAGCTTATCTGCTGAACCACTCTCAAGGTGAAGTTTTTCTCTCACRTTCATGTCATTCAGAAATTCTCCTTTGGCATATGGTGGCTGTTGCCTCTTGCTCTTTTWTTGTGAATGCCAGAGTTCAGTCTTCGCTAAGCGTCTACCTTGTAAAGGGCTGCCATCCTCCCTTTAGGTTACCTCTTAGTCCTCTCGTCTCCAGGCTGTGCAGAGCAAGCCCCCCATGCTTCAGCTGAAGCTTCAGCTGCCCATGTCCAACCAGTAGCAGGGCAGAGAAGGTATTTCCAGCAAAGCATCCACACAAGCAGGCATATACCAGTACACACAAAATATTTGTGTGTATATTTATATAAATATGTAGATGTGTTGTCCCCTGCTTTGTGCCTGGGGAGAGGAGCTTTCATGTTCCTGACACGAAACCTAACAGGGTAGAGAGCATCAGCCCCTGTCTTACTGTGCAGCCTTCTGCTGAACTCCTCCCAGTTCTCTCTCCTGTTCKAACCTTGGCCAGCTCAGCATGCGGCTGCAAGAACTTTTACCCATTCGTTCTTACCCATTCTCTACAAATTAATCTCTAAGCCAGGGGGTTTTTAACTTGAAATGGTGTTTGCAGGTGTGTGAGATGTTTCTTTTGTTGGAAGTGCAAAAACGTTTCTTGTTGCAACTTAAATGAGAGACAGCTGCTTTGTCATTAGGATTAAAGTTGAGAGATGCAATTACTGGAAAACGCTGTACAGGTTTGGGATTGYCTGAAGACAGAGAGCCTTGAAGTAGCCCTTTGCATGACTGCAGCAGAACACCATTAGCTGTTTGTGTTTGATGCTGTCTTTTAACTTGGATCACTTGTAACTAACATATTCCAACTTCTGTGGCCATTTTATGCTTTTCACCAGGAGAACTAGATCCGGAAAGAATGGGCTCGGGTATTCAGTATGGGGATGCGGCCCTGAGGCAGCTGMGATCGCCACGAAGAGCACAAGCAGAGAGTGCTCAGGAATGTGGGTGTTAGAGAAACGAACACAGGAGTCCCAAACACTGAACTTAGGTATGAAAGGTAAGACTGCAAAATCTCGGGGCATTTGGTAGATGRTCTTACTGCATAAGGATGCTATTTTGTCTGCTTGGCTTTTCCACAGGTAGCCTGTAAAAGAATATAAAATCCAGTCAAGTAATGCACAGTAGAACTGAGGCTTTATATTTGATATTTCTTCTACCATCTACCTGCCAAAGAYTAATTTTAAATAATGATGTTGTTTTCCTTATTTTGAGTAATGCAGTTAAAAACACTTTRAACTGTTGCATCTCAGAAAGGAATTATATCCTTGATAATTACTTGACACACGGAAGAGAAGGTGACTCTGTGGCATCATAGAAAAATACTACTGGAAATGAGAACTCATGAAATGTGTGGTGCAGTATCTTGCCACCAGTATCTTGTTAAAAACTGTTGTATAGTCCTCTCTGTATAGTCTCTTACAGACTGAGAGGCTTAAACTCAAGGTAGTATTGGATTCCAAACTTCCTCTGACTTTTTGTGTCCCTGAAAGGAAGAACAGGCCAGAGTAGTTCCCGCTCCTGGCTGTCATGGGCAGGAATGTCTGCAAGAAGAGACCAGCAGTACCTGCTGCTTCAGCTTTGGGTGGTTTCAAGCCAGCTGCTCCCCGTGGCTGTTGCCCCCTATAGCAGTGGAGCAGAGGACATGAGGAACAGATTTTTTCCCTGAGCAATAAGAGGAAGAGAGAGCTAAACGTCCCATTATCTACTCCCTAAAGCATCCTAGTATTTAATTTCTCATAAATGCTTGTATTTAGGCATCTTCCAGTTTTTAGGAATGTTATCTACCTCCCTGCAGTAGGTATGTGGCTAGAGTTGCCCTTTCCCCCTCAGCCAGTAATGAGGATAGTTAAGGAATTACAGTGCAGTGTCTCTGAGGTCACTGACCCTCACTTTTCTAACAAATGAGGCAGTGATATCAAATTAAGCTAGTACAGAAAACATAATTATTATATTATTTTTACATTAAAAACTTGACAGAACGTTAAATAAGGCTCTATTCAATTCTATAATCTCACTTTTTGTTCTTTGAGTATTTTGAGAGCTTAGCTCTCAACATACAGGAATCTTCAAATTGCTTTCCTCCCATTTTCCTTGTAAGATATGAGTCTTCAGCAAAAAGACTGGTAAACRGGGAGTGCAGTCACTCTGCCTCCTGTTCTGGCTGTGCAGGAGTGAGTGTTCACTGATCTTATTTCAGGAACTGAGTTTGAACATGGATCAGATGCACCTAAGTGATGGAATTCTTGTCTGTTTTCCAGCTGTCCATGCAAATGGTGTTTGAAGAAGCGGAGAAGGTTTGAGGGCTATGCAGTTTTTAAAAACCATCTTCCAACTATATATTCATAGGACCAGACCACTGGTGGCAAAGTGAACTGTGTAATGTAATGCAGGAATGTGCACGTGACACACAAGACTGCAAAGCAAATCTGGTAATTGGTGGACAATGTTAAGGCTCATACCTGTATGTAAACATTTTCCATTACGCATTTTTGTTCCTTCTTCTTTAGTTTAAAGCATCGCTCTATACTGTATATAATGTAACAGTAAATTTACAAAGCATGATATACTTATATATGATGATAGAATGTTGCACTATAAGCAGTTTAATATTTTATTTTTTTATCATATAAACTAAAATTTACCTGAAGTAGGCTTTATCATGTTTGTTTGTTTGCACACTAGGTTGTATTTATTACCTGAATTCTAAAGGCGCTGGCATTGATTGTCAGTGGTGGATTTTTTTTTCCCTTAGTTGGTCACATTCTGCAAGCAATTTACATGACTAATACACAGCCCATGTTTAGGACCCTTACTTGTGTTTACCAGGATGTCAATTTGGAAAGCGCATTTTTATTGTAGTGCACCTATCCTGTTTCCTCACAACCCTTAAATAAACATCTTTCAGAGGTCTTTTAGCCAACTTCAAAGGTTTAGAGAAAAAAAGATATTTCAAAGTATCAAATGCCTGTTGACTACTTGAATTTTTCTGTTTTCTTTGTATAGCACTGGTGTCACGTGTAGTATTTGTGTGAACTGAACTGTGCATATTCTGTTTGCTTGTAGCACTAGTCCAGGGACAGGGGCTTACAAAAAGGATCATGATAAGGGTTCTCTGAAGCTCTTATCACTAACCAAGCAATTAGCTATGGCAAAAACAACTCCTGCTGCAAGCATACCCGGCAAGGTACAGACTGAGCCCAAATGGGTTTCTCCGAGGTATGCCGAATGTAAGACACTTCAAATATCAATTTCGTGGCTTTTAAACATTCATGAAGTAAAACTAAGATTTTGAAACTGGAAGCCTAGAGTGTGTATTTGGGACCTCGCAGCCCGTCGTGCTGGAGCTCGGCCTTGGGCTCGGGGCGCGCTGCAGCCAGAGCTGCCTGCGCAGCCCCGGCCCGTGCMCGAGAGGGAGCGGGAGAAAGGAGCGCACTGCCTGCGTGCTGCTCTGTGCCCCTGAAACCCAGCTGGCTGGTCAACACAAAACATGCCCTGGGGACTGCTCTGCCACCTTCTCCCTGTTGCATGGGCTGGGAAACGCTGCCCTCCGTGCCAGGCTGGAGACACAAGAGGGAGAGCGGCGGCCGCGGGCCCCGCACGGCAGCACCGCTGCGCCCGGCCAGGCAGCTGCGCGAGCCGGGCCCTGCGCCCGCCCCCAGAGCTGCTCCGGCAGGGACGGGGGCGCTGCTCGTGCCCAAACGCCAGCCCGGGGGGAACGGACGGGGCTGCCAGGGCGGCTGCACCCATCGCAAGCGCTAGGGACAGTTTGGTTTAAGGCCTTGTACGATTAGGCAGCAGGTGTTCCCATGGGAAGGCAGGCTAAGGCAGAGAGGAGTTCATTTCATCAACACCTCCCCTTGGAAATCCTAAGGGCAAATGTGCTTTCTTTTCCATATAGGAATCTTTTCTATTTAAGGCACACCTGCCAAATACATGTTTAAAAACTAAAATGAATTGATGCTGTAATTCAGAGSGCAGTCGTGGCACAAAAGCAAGGCCAGAATTCTACAGCGGTGGACCCTCCTTCATGAAAGTGAAAAAATGCTCCTGTTGTCCTGACGCTTTTGGTTCCAGTGGATGCTTTTCTACAAGTTACACAGCTAAAGTCTGAAGAATTAAATTTGCTTTGTCCTGGAAAAGCCCAGGTTAAGTCTTAAAAAGGCCACTGAAGCCAAAGCCTTTTTTTTTCTTTTTTCTTTGATTGTTTCTGATTGTCTCTCTCATGCAAGATGAGATTTGTCACATAATTTTTGACACTTGTTCTGCAGGAGCAGTCCCTTCCTGTTAAGATCATAGGGTATTTGAAGCAGCTTAATCCAGCATGTTCTGTTTTCAGGGGAAGTAATTACCAAAAAAAACCCAAAAAGGCCAATTCACTGGAACAGGTATCGGATGTAGTTACCTCCAGCACCACTCYAGAGAGCGTGTTATTCAGTGAGCTGGGTTGTATTTTTTTGCCTAGAGTTTGGAAGAGTTTTTAAAAGCCCCAAACCCAGCTGAAATGCTGGGAAAAAAAAAAAAGGAGATTTTTTTTTTTTTCCTCTCATAATTTTAAGCAAAGCTCCTGGTACTTTGAGGAGAGGGCACTGGGGCTTTATGAGTGCCGACCCAGCGCAGGTGAGAGCCTCTCCTGACGCCGTTACCGTGGCTGAAGGGACGTTGCCTTTTGCTCGGCRCTTTGCCTTGGTACCCTCGCAGTCGAAGGAACGGGAAGAGCTACTGGACTCTGCTGCTTTCCTTTCAGCAGGGTGTTGCTTAAATCATAAGGGGTTTGTGGTACTTTGTTTTTCTTTCCTCTTCTTTTTTTTTTAGTTCTGATGATTTTTGATAACATTTCTAGGGTTAAGTAGGTATAAGCACAATTCTACTTTTTCTTGTAACCAGTTGTCTTAAGCTTTCTTCTTCCAGCAGGAAAGAAGCATTAACTTCAAAAGAATCCATTTGGAAATACTTTTTATTGTTCCTTTTACTTGTTTAAGAAGTGCACCCTTATGCTGGCAGGAGCCCGTGGTAAATATTTAACCATGTATGTTTTCAGTGTGCAGTTCTTACTCTACCAAAGCAAGAGGGCTTAGGGTTTTAGTATCCCTGCTACCTAAATACTAGAATTTATTGGTTGTGGAGCTTTAGCTGTTCTAAGAAGTTTCAATGTCATCTAAAAGCCTTTGTCTCGCCTTTTAAYGAGTCTGTGGGGACTATTCTGTTTCATTTGATGCTTGTATCTAACACTGAATAAAGAATTTTTTTTCTTGGTATTCTAGGTGGTTGATGGCAAGCTGGTTATTCCACGTCTTTTGCCAGCTAAGCTGCCTCTCTAAGCCAGAGAAGCAGTAGAGGGAGTTGAAGGAGAGGCTGTGAGGCTGGGGGCAGCGAGAGCAGCAGCTGGTGGTTCCCAGGGGCTGCAGCGGCCGCCGTGGGGCTGCCCCACAGCTCTGCTGCTGCTCACGCTGCGCTCCCTCCTGCACCAGCTTCTCTGGGGTGGGGGGCAGCCCCACGCCTCTGTCTCCCCTCCTGCCTGGCTGTGGGAAGGGCTGCTGCCTTCCTGCTGGGGGCCCTTTGGGCTGTGCATGGTGCCCTTTAGCAGGCAGGCTGCAGCTTGGGTGCTGCTCTCCTGCACCGTCTGTCTTCCCAGGCTCCCAGGGACCAAAACAAGTGTGTTGGTTTTGGTTTTTGCTGGGGTTTCTTTTTCTTTTTTTTTTTTAAACTTGAATTCTGTATTGGATTTTCCCATTTTCCCCTAACTTCCCACCAGCCCCTAGGGCAGCTCAGCCTGAATTACACAATTTGCTTCTACCTTGTCTGCCTCTTCCACTGAGGAGTTTTGAGCATAGATGTTTCTGACTCCTACAGAGCCTTAGAAAGGAATATTAAAAAAAAATCCAATTACTCTGTGCACAGCCTTTGTATTTATATTCTCTATAGCGAAAGAAAGGCTGTGAAAGAATAGCACACTTCAGTTGACTATAAAAGCACCCAGTAAAAAAGGACCAACGAGTCTAGCTTGGCTCCCCTTCTGTACATCTCTCTTGTCCTGTGCCTGATTTCTAACAGAGGGGGAATTAGGCCAAGGTGAAGATRCAAGGCTGCAGGCTTGAGAGCTTTGAAACTAACATCGGTAAGGCTGGCAGCGTTGCACACAAAGCTCGTACCAGGAGTCCCGCTGCGGGGCAGCGTCCAGCCCTGGGGGAGAGGATGCTGCCCTGCAGCACGAGGGGTGCGCTAAAACACTGGCTGAGGAGGTGAAACAAAGGGCAGGGGAGAGAAAAATTAGTGAGGYGGGGAGTGCAGCAGCACTGACCCCTCTAAACCAGCTTTGACAGTGGCTAACAGGGCCCAGGCCAAGGCACGGGCTGTTACCGTTCACTGTGACAAGGGATTGACATCTTCAAGTGATGCAGCAGAGAGGCTGTAGAAATGGGAGAACAGGGAAGAAAAGTCCAGCTTATTGACATCAGCAAGAGAGATGGAGTTCCTGGACTTTCCAGCTGGAGCATAAGGAAGAAGGTAGAGCAATAACAGTGGTCTCCTTTCCCTCTGCCTAGCACTGTCAGTTAATCACCTCAAGAGGAGAGCAAAGCTCTTCTCTCAAAGAGAACTCCTGTCAGCTGTCCATATTTGTCCCTAACAATAAGAATTTCTTACTCGTTAAAACAGACACCAAGAATAAACATATAAAGAATAAACACCCAGACAAGGGASCTTTGCTCTTGCCCTCCTCCACGTGCTCAGACCTGCAGCTGGGACAGTAACAGCTTGTTGCCCAAGTGACATTGTCACGTTTTTAACTGGGTGGTCAGCCTGTGCCCCTAGCACTTATTCAAGGTCTAGTAACACTCCCTACTCTTAAATACTTAGGATACTTTTACAGGTGCAAGATGATAGTGTTTAAGGMCACCTTCCTGCTTTAGTCCTCAGCTTCTGAATAACAAACACTTTATAGCAGCATTTCAGCCTCTTYTCCCCTTAATGGCCTTGCAGAGGGAAGGATAAGGTAAAGATAAAGAAAGAAAGAAGCCCTAGCAGAACAGTGCCAAGCCAGGTGGCTGTTCTAGAACCACAGCAGATAAGCTCAGCTCTCAGGGGATTTAGCCCTAGTCTAGCTTCAGCCTAAACCTAGCTTTTAACCAGTCTATAGAGGCAGCACCTATCAGAAACCTGGGTCATTTGTCCTCCGTGAGGGGGTGAGACATGGGGAAAAGGAGGCAGCCAGTGAAGCCGGAGGCCACAGGGGTTACAGACACCMAGCAGAGCCCCTTCGATACCCCAAATACTACAAGCAGCCAAGGCACTTCTTTGCATCACTTACTTTATTCACACATACAAGTTGACATTGTACTATCACATACAATACAGAAGCTTTAAAAAACATACAATTTAAAAAACTCTTAAAAATCACATATTGCTTCAAGCTTAGACGGTATTTCCCTATAGTTTTTAAAGTGAATTCAGTGCCAACGATAGCCGAGGCAGCCCCTTACTCCCTTCTACCCCTGCTCTCAGGGGGGCCACCAGCAGGGTCTTAAGTGAGGCTCTACATATGGCTTTGCTGCTGCGTGCACTGAGCTGGGAACTGGGACACGCAGGTTACTGCAGGTAKGCCCCCACGCCGCCAGCTTTTGGTCCCAATGCTGCTGTAGAAAAATGGAGACCYTTGATTCAGAGCCAGTGCATCACATCATTAACGGTGGGGCAGGGGTACTCCCCTAAGAGCCAGGAGTTTAGTTAAAACGGGCACCTGCTAAATACCCAGATAAAATTCTTCACCAAAAAAATAAATCAGGACTGTCCCTTACACATTTACATTTGTCTCTATATTTAACTATCACCTTGATTCTCTGCAGCTTCCAGGCGCAGAGCCCGTGAGGAGCACGGCGAGGAGGTGCCTGCGCMGGAGGCTGCCCCGTTTCACAGCACCCTTGCACAGGTCCCACCGGGGCATCTCACACCGCTACCACTRGGCTTCACAGCACAACAGCCCAAGGGCAGCATTACACACTGAAAAAGTCTTAAGTTTCACTAAGTGCTTTCAGAAACCGAGAAGAACAGACAAGTGTTTTACAACTGTGAATGTTTTCTGTGTTTGCATGAATACCAAAGCCTTACTTCTAAGGCAAGAGTGAGAAGCATTTACCACACGGCTGAATTCAAGAGCCCATGCAAGACAGAGCTCAGAACTTCCTTAATTCACAGGGGGATATTCACTAGTTTTATATCTCCAAATAGGTGATTTGGTACAAGAGAGTGTTACTTCTCTTTAAGAGTCTAAAATATCAAGCTTTAACTCCATACTTTAAGTGTTTTGCTTTCTAAATCAGTTGATTTAGCTATTGCTGTTTTGATAGAAATTCAGGCAATTTTCCAAACTTCAGCCCATCACTTGCCAAATATCTTAAATATACAGCTTGCAGTGATCAGGACTGTATTCCACATATTCAAAGCAAGCCTCAGGTTTGAGGGTCAAATTGAGAGACTACCAGAAAGATGCCCCACGTGCAGATTCAGAGCCTGCCCCTCACTTGAAGCTTCATGGCACTTAAATCAAGTGAGTACCAATATAGGCCCCCCGCTTTTCAGCTGCAGTTGATAAGGGTGCCTGACTCACAGGACCTGGCCAGCACCAGTGCTGCCTTCCAGCAAGTTGTTTGGTGGGTACAGCTTCAGACCAGGCAAGGTAAGGGTAAGAGCCTCTCAGCACCCAGCAGCCCTGGTGCAGATGAGGTTCTTGTGCTCYGCAGAGCACCTGGACACCCCTGCCTGAGACAGCTCCAGTTTGTACCCTGTACCCAAGGCAGGAGCCCCTTAGACCTCTGTAGTTATTGAAGAGGCTGACTGCTCAGGGGAGACCCCTCCAAACCTAAAACAGGTACCTAGGTAGGCACATGGTCCTCTAGCCCTCCACAGTCACTGGGAAGAGCTCTGGGAACAGCTTTGARAGCACAGGAGGCAACACGAGTCCTGCCCCATGCAGTGAGGGAATGCACATGGACAGRCCCTGGGCACAGCCCCATTGCTCTGGACACCCACTTTAACCATCTACAGAGCAGGGAGGGTACGTGGTGCTCTGCACAGCAGCAGGTCTCACTCAATAGGGCTGCTGGCTACAGTACATTTCTGAACGTTTTCAGTACATTTCTRCCACTGCTGAAGTTGGGTTCCTGACTTGATTCCAAGTTGGATTCCTGAATGAAAACAGAGTGAAAATCAACTAGAACATATTTATAACAGTTATTTGAAAAGGAAAATCAGGATATTGATAATAAAAAAATTCAGAATTGAAGGCATCCATCCAGCTGGATAGTTGACCTCAGTTTTGGACTCTGGTCTAAAGTTTTAGCTAAATGGGGTTAGAATCTTCTAAGTGACAATAAAATATTTCTTGAGTGTTGGTTTGTGCAGTGAAGTSAAACTGCTCCTGATTTCTACTGCATAAGTGCAATGGTGCTTCTAGTGAAAACTCTGACGTTTAGTCACTGTTAAGAGAATGAGTTTCACAACTAGGTAACACAGCACACGTCAAAGCTCTGAAGCTCACAACTACAGCCGTGACCTGACTAAAGCTCAGCTACCAAACTGAAGGAGTTCATTTACAGCAGCTTGAATGGAGGGAATAAAAAGCAAAGAATCACACACACACACCACTAAGGAACTGACACATGACTGCTTTACTATGTAAAAATAAAATGTTGACACTTCATTRTATACTGTGGATTCCTAGAGGGTATCTTTCTGTCCTCCCCTGATCCCCATCTCCTCATCAAGGAGTTCTGCACCAATGYCGAGAGGCAGAAAACTTCCTAGAACTTCCCTACAAGGTTTATCAAAATGATTTTCAAGTTTCAAACCTCTAACGGAGACTTGTTACAGCACACCACCAGATGCATATTGCACTCTGACCCTGTTGAGCATAGAAAGATACTCATAAGTTTAAAACACAGATTTTACTACACAGAAGCCAACCCTCTCCATAGGGAAACTGGCATTGGAATGGTTAAGCACAAAGTCAGTGTGACCACAGAGCTAACACAGCAATGCCAAGGCATGACCAGCAACTGCTTACGGAGCAGCAGCCACCACGTAGTGATTGTCTGCGTCAGCCGTTTGGTACAGCAGCCACAGCAGCTCCGAGCCGTCCTGCAACTGGTCTCGCTCTGAAAATAAGTGGTCCCGAGACTGACAAGTCATTGATTCCAGCGACCTTAGAAACAACGATTGAAAGATAAGAAAATATCAGCAATTCCATTAATCAAATTTTTGGATGCGTGTTTCTACATACAGACCACACTTGCGCTTTCTACATGGAGCATCTGCATTTATGAGTGCCATTTACCAGACTCATCATCTTTCCTGTTATCCATCTTGAACCAGCGTGTTTGGGGACAATCACCGAATCAAGTAGTTTGATAAATGCWAATGCTCCTTCATCACACCTTTACATTCTTCCCCCTAAACCACTTCTTGATCACTTGGAGAACTTAAACTTTAAAGGTCAACAAATTATTTGGGAGCAAGATCAAGAGAGTGTCTTCTTAGGCTGCCAGGAGTCCAAGGCTCTCCTCCCGGCTTACGAGGCCCTGAAATGCAGATTCCCAAAAGGGGAACTTGTTTAAAACGTGGGTAGCTATATTCAAAAGATTCTTCAAATGTTATGGCTCCAGCTATACACCCCACTGTGAGGTAGGTAGCCAAGATACAAATATGGTAACAAACAGCTGGAAACTCCCTGTAAAAACCTTGCATAAGTAGTTGGGTTCCTTGCACCAGTGTCCTGATATGCTCGACTTCTTTGAGGGTGCTGAAGGAAAGCAGAGTTCACCGAGCTCTTGCYGAGTAGCATCTCATGTACTCGGTCATCCAGGGGTTGTCTGGAGGGGCAGGCTTTGCTCGCCAAGCTCTCTCGGCCTCCGCAGACCGCACTCGCCTCTGAGAAAGTTTCCTTTTCTCCACTTGCCTCCTGTTCTTTGCTCGCAGGGCAGATTCATGAATCTAGAAGATCAGAGTTGGTGTTACAGCAKGAGAAGAGCCCAGGACTCTCCCATCCCCCCAAAAGCTGCTGGGCCCTCTCAGTCCCCCATCCTGAAGAAACAGGATTTGACAGCAAGGTTGCTTTTTCTTCTTATTTATACCACTGACAGAAACACAGAATCATGGGGAAGGAGATGCTTCAGCTCCAATGCTGCGCTATACCCCTCCCACTTCATACCATTACAAACAATTCTGAAGACTTTGAATGTTTCTTTGCATCTTTGCACAGTTATTTCCTAAACATCCCTCAGTGTGACCCAGCATCCTCCACTAAATTGTAGTAAAAAAACTCATCCTTAGCAACCCCCTTACAAGACACTGAAGAACTTCATCATGAGCAAACTGCAGGAGTGTCTGCACATTTTTCTATATTACCACATTTTTCCCTAAACTCATTTTTAGGGTACAGCTGCTATGTTCATTGCTTTCATCTCCAGGAGATCTGTATCAGTCTCCCATCTCAGGGCACAGTAACATCTCTGAAGCATGAGGAAAGTACCCTTTTACCCAGGTGCTAAGAAGTCATTCCCACCTAAAGAAACATCCCTATAGACAAAATACTACCTCAACAGTTTGCATAGCTGCAAGCGTTTCAGAAGTGTCCTGCCCTCATGCTCCAGAGCTATGCCCTTGACTTGAAGGCTCTGCTGCTTATTTCTGGCATAAGACATGTTAGGTATGAATAACACTAATCATTGTCACCTTGTTCCCAGGCTGAAGTAGTGCTCAACTATTTCCAGCACTGACCAAAGCTTATCAGCACCATTACAGGCTGATAAGGCTGTAATGCTTTATCAGGATGGGCTGCTTCTCTCAAGAATTAAGAGCTCAAGATCCTAGTTTCTCTCAAAAATAAACTATCCAGGGAAGGGAAGCCTCCTGGACAGCTTCAAGCCCTCCCCAGAACTGCAGTCTGCTTTATCTTACACCAAGAACTGCAGCCTCCTTATTCCTCCATCACCGAGTCAGAGTCTAGACTGGCAGTGACAAGACACCGGCAGGACACGTTGCTGATTGCCTAGCAGGCTTGGGGAGCTCTAGAAGGGAAAGATGGAACTGCTGTACCACTAAGGTTAATGTTTCTCGCTAAGCAAGTAAACCTGCCGTACCAGAGTTCTGACACTACCTATCACCACATAAACTTTCATTACATTCCTTTGCTAACATCTACATCAAACACACAGTGCACCAGGCATCTGAGGGACTCTTCTCCTGTCAAAATTCCCACTGCCAACCCCCAGAGGCAGGCATTCCAGCAACAAAACAGTTGCACCTCCTCAGCAAAGCTCRTTCCCAGGGATTGCCCCAGGAAAGGCACTCTTCCACAGCACAGCTTAAACACTGCCCCTGCATTTATGTACCTGGCTGCCTGCTTTGGGGTGCTTGCTGCTAACTGCCTGATGCTTTGCTCTTGCCATGAAGTTCTGCAGTTTATAACAGCCAGTTTTGCTGGTTGCACTGTAACAGCCAGAAACAAGATCACCAGGCATGAATCAGAATTTGAAATTACTGATCAAACAGGAAGAGTTTCAAACCAGATTAATAAAGCTATTGACTTTGCACATGTAAAACCTCACCAGGCTTATTGCTATAATAATTTTTGCTGTGAGAATATTGATTGMAATGCTGCACTGTCAGCCCTGTCAACAGTTAATATACACTTCAACTGCTTCCTCTGCTTCTTCCTTCACACCGATTAGAAGCTTATAAGCACCTGGAAGTATTAACCCTAGTGAGCAACAGATTAATAGCYTCCCACAAGGATCCCAGCTTAGAGCTGTATCATCAGGAAAAGCAGGTACTTGCTGCAGCTAGCAGGAAAGCCTGCACCCAACGCTGCATGAAGTGGCCGTGATCACCACTCTCCAAAACTCCTCCTCTTATACTCAGCTTCACCCACGTGGCAATTACATTTTGTCCTGCAACACTGGCAAAGCTGCAGGCAGCTGAGTTCCCTGGCTAATGGGGAATCTGCAATTCCCAGCTTTATAGACAGTTCTGCATGTCTTAAAACACAGTAGACATTCAGGTCTTCACTATATATTTTCAGCATTAGCAAGCAATAGGTAGGACCTGTGCTTATGCCTTTGTGATGCAGGGGGAGTACAACAGCCACTTCTGTCTCTTCTGTAGATGAGGATTTCTTGGATAATCATCTTAGTCGTCAAGATGAAAAGTCTGAGGACTCAACTAGATATTAAGGAAAAATCAGCTGTCTTTGAAAACGAGAGTTTAAAAGAACAAAACTAGACATCCAGAAATAAAAGTGTYGAGGAACAAAAATCAAAAGCCTCTCACAGATACCTTTTGCCTAAGGGCTATCTCAAGAGATTCACTTGCATACAGCTTGAGTCCGAGTCAGTCCTGGATGGAAGGGAACAGACTCAAAGCAAGAAGCCCCAATTTGCTCTTCCTGCCTAGCACAGCATGACCACAATAAGCTAGGACAAGACATCGTCACCCACTGCAAAACATCAACATGACACYGAAGTCCTCAACATTCCCTGCAAGATCACAAATAAAAGCATCTAACTTCTGCCTAGATATTAGATATTTTTAGCCTGCAGACACAGCAGTTCGACTACAGCAGCAGTTTAAAATACAAATCCAGTGTTTCCACTTACTTCATTCACTGAAGCAGAAGCACAGACATTGTGAGTTCTCTGGCTTCCAGTATCTGTCCGCCTTTCTCCCCACCCGTACAGGGCAAAGGGGTGTTTACTCTCCTTTGGCACGTCTGCCTTTTGAGGACTTYTGGCTGACCTTCGATCGTTGCGACCGGACAAGGCACTTTGGCTTGGACGTCGTCCCGCACGGCTGGTTTTGTCCTTTTCCTTAATGGAAGAGGGTTCTGCCTTTTTTTCTGGTTCTTCCTTCTGCTGCTTTTCTTGATCTTCTCTCTCTCCTTTCTCTTCTTTCTCTTTTTCTGAAAATAAAGTTATGCTTTAAATATGCTATCATTTARAACAAACATCTGCTCTGCTGAGCTTTTCTTGATACATACATTTGTTTAGAAAGGAAAGAGGTCACTAATTCTTCATCAGTAGAGGCATAATTTGTTAGATAAACTGTGGTTACTAAGGAYAGAATGAGGTTAATTCATGTCCCTCTATATCACTGTCCTCATATTTAAACAAGCCATCACTACCAAGGCTAGATACTCAATAGCCACAGGCAATATTGAAAATAATGCAAATTACTTCCAATGGGGATCTGTCCTCCCTGTCTCATCCTCGCACCTTTCAGAAGGGCAAACTTCTAAGTGACACATAGAGGCTGCCACTCAGTCACTGGAGAACAAGTCTGATTAGTATTTTATGTACTCTAAGGTTTCTCTAACATATGCTTCTACTATGTTTTACACTTAAAGCCTCATACGCCACAGACAACACCATCATAGGTTTGTTTTATAACATTTGATCTATATTTAAATTTTTCAAGTAAATGCCCAGAATGGAAGTTACTGACTAGAAAACAACACAAATCTTTTCACAACCTTTGAGACTTCAGATGTTYAAAGTGGGTGACAAAAGGTCTTCGAACTGTTAATACAAACCAGGTACTCTGCTTACCAGATGTTAATGAAACATGATTTCAGGAAAAAGTAAATAGAGAAGCCCATTTTAGTTCACCATAGTGCATCTCCTCACCAATAACCTGTACAATTTGGAGTAGCACAATAGACATTCAGCAACATGAGCACAACCCAAGTATCATGACCAAAGTCTTACCAGAACCAAGCCAAGCATGCCCTTAGCTTAAAGCAGAGCTAAAACCTTTAACTAACCAGACGGTCTAACACCACCCACTAGAAAGCAAGCTGCCTTTTCCAGCATCCTCCTTGGGGCCAGAGCTGCCCCCTTCCATCGGGCACACAGTGCATGAGCTCTGCACACACAAGCAGCCCTGAACACAGGGGTTTCTGCCACACCACCTACTGCTTCCTGCACTGTGGGGACCTCCTGAAGAGAGCTGGAGGAAAGGGCCTGTCCTCAGCTGAGGAATGGGACATGAGAGAAAGGCAAGCTTCTTAGGAGTCTCCATGCAGATTCTTCTGCATAGGTTAACAATTAACAGAGGTAGAAATCAGCCCATTAGTATTTCAGAATGATACATTGCTTTTTAAAAAGAAAATAGTTTAAGAAAAAATCTGTGCTTGAGCAAAAAGGCACTCATTTGAGAAAATACCTGCAAACAATTGCTTTAGGGTCTTAGGTGGTTGTAGCCTGTCTTCCCAGCCTGCAATAGTCACTGAAAGAAGAGCAGAAAGCTGCTACAAATCTGCTTTTCTGCTTCATGTCTCAGCATCTTCAGTCTCCCCAGCATTCACTGGTGTAGCAAGAATCCACCCAGTTCAATCACTCTCTATATAACCAAGCATTAATCACAGACAGAACTAGAACATGACTGGAACATTAAGCATCTTCCTAAGCAGATGGGCTCACCCCATCCTGTGGCACAAGAGCARCCATTGGTGCTAGCTGCCACAAGGGAACTAGTCAGCAAGTGSCCACGCCAGCTATGCTGCTCTACCTCCCCGCTGCAGCCACCCAGCGGAGCCGGGAGGGAAGCGCCCGGCCCAGCAGTGCCGCACACGGAGGCTCCCTCTGCCCTTGGAGCGGGAGGGCACGAAGGTGTGTGGGCATGCAGGGCAGGGCCCAGCTGCCCCCTGCTACAGCTGATACAAAACACAGCACCGCAAGCTGGCTTAAGAGCTCAATTAAGTAGTGTCTGTGAAAGTGCTAATTGTAGCCAGGGATAAATAAGTCAGTAAAAGAAAAAAAAGCAGTGCAAGCACAGATAAACCAAAATAAAACACAATAATCTCAAGTACCTCAAAACTGAGCTCAAAGTTTTCCAGCCATTATTGCCTTTTTGCTTTTTATCCAGCTGTGGATAATTAAGTGACCTCAACACATGTGGCATCGTAGCTGCACCAGGCAAATTCCTTTGCAAAATCCACTTTATCCTTACACCTCTTTACAGTCTGTTCCCGAGAAAGGACTGGCTGCATACTTTCTGGAGGAAGTCATGTCGTTCCTTTGAACATGCTAGTCAAGGGCTCCAGAAAAATAAGACATCCTCCTTTAGCATCTTATATTGTTGTCAATTTTGAAGCAGAATAGTTTTCTTTTGGGAGGTCAGTCCACTAATCTCTTAAAGGAAAAACTTGCATCTTCCTTCTGCAGAGGAGTGTTGAGTTCATGAACAGCATGGTGTTACGTGGAGGCTTCAAATCAAGGGACTGCAGCATCTCTGCAGTTGCATGTATATTCTAGCACTGAATGCTATTCCAAGGCAAGTAACAGACAAGCCTGGATGCTGCTCCCTGGGATATAAACCCTGGTGGCACAGAGTTTGAGCCAGCTTGTGCCCAAATAGCATGAGGGCATATAGGTAAATGGCAGTGTCACACATGGAGTTTTACTGTATATGCTGTATGCCTCAGCATAGAATAGCACCTTGTTAAAATATCTGTGCTGATAACAGGTGATTATAAATTAATTCCTGCAGTTCATAAAGATATTTCCACAAACTGAGTTCTGCAGGTGATTTGGTCTAAAACTAGAGCTAATATCCATCCTATCAAGCATTTCTTTTCAGAGGGAGGTAGCAAAACAGCAGCTAATAGCTAGGGAGAAGGTGCTTCAGCTGCTTGGGAAGCACAGCCACCCGCAGCAGCTCTCTTGTATACAGGGTATCAGCATGAGCAGACACCACCTAACCCAGCCGTGCRTGCTGTGAATAGAACAGCAAGCTGTCTGAGGCATTACAGGGATTAGGCAGACCAGAGGGAAAACCGGGAACACGTTAAAACTGCCTCACAGACGCTAAGCAAAGCGCACTGGTCAGAAGGGGATTAAGTACTTAGCAGGCAGACCAAGGCTGCCAGGCCCATCCAACGTGGCCTCGGAGAGGAGATTTGGATCCCCCCTCCCACCCCACAGCCCAGCTTGCATAACAGCTCCGCTCCCAGCAGCTCAGGCAGGAGCTGCTGCCACTTCCCTCCTTTCCCCAGCACCGCACATAGCACCAGGCAGACATGAAYCCCACCTGAAGGCTCTGCTGATTTCCCAGAAGTAGAAACAACCTTCTGGTCAGACCCACTAGTTAACAGGAGGATCTTAACATGCACATTAAATCTCTCRACAGTGCCTCTACAGACAGCACTACCTCAGGGTCAGGAGAGGCATTTTGCACTAAAGCAGGAAGCTCTGGGTTCTGCCCAAGTCATCTTCAGAGCTCACCTGCTCAAGCTCAGCACTAAAACCAGCTCCCTGAGCAGGTACAATTCATGCAACAGCCACTCTGCACATCATGACAGTTTTACAGAGTAAATATACACCTCTCCAAAGAGGCRGTTTCTCCAGGGCCACTGAAGAGGCACATATGCAATAATGATTATGAGTTTGCTGCAGCTGAGTGGAAAGTAGKTACCATCTACCACAGCTGGGACAAGCAGCCATTTCTTCAAGCAAGGCCAAATACAAAGCAGTGCACTGGGACAGCAGTTGCTCTTCCAGCAGCACAGCAGTTCAGAGTTCATGCAAGCCTGAGCCAGAGCAGAGTTGTCTTGACTTGATCCTGATGTTGATTTCCAACACAGTGGGGAGAGGGGTCRAACTTTAACATAGTACCATAACTCCCTAAAATGACACCACTACCTTATTCCTCTGCCATAAGCTGTTTCTCCCCAGGCCCCTGTGCCAGCTCAAATGCACATGCAACAATGAGGCAAAGATTAAGGAATGACAGTTTGAAAGAAGGTCTTCTGAACTGCACTAATACAGATCAGTGACCCTCATGCTACTGCGTGGCAACTGCTTTGACAGCAGTGACAAGCTGGTGTCACTCAAGACCTCTGTACAAAAAGAAAGCTCAAGGCTAAACGCAATAAGGATGGAAAGAGGGGTTTACACTGTACTTTGTATGCTGTCCTGTACAGCAGTAGCATTGCACAAGCAGCAGGTTTGGCAGCACTGCTGCTGTCGCCAAGAGCTCCCCTTTTACTTCACAACCAACTGGTTCTGCTGACAGTTTTGAGGATGTGTCCACTAAAGAAGTTGACTTAGGTTAAAGTTTTACGAGACTCTATTTAAAGCAAATCAACGCCTGTACATGCCACACAGAACAGCCCCACAGGCAGCTGTCACAAGTGCAAGWCCAGCAAACATTAAGCCATAACTGCCACTGAGCCCTTTGACATCACTCAGCTATGGCTTAAGCATGATGCAGATATAGCAAAAGGCATTTGTGTTTGGTCTAAAGTACCACCATCAAGAATCCCCCAAAATGCTAACACCACTACACCTTCAGGTCAGCTAGAGACAGAGCTAATGTCCACACTCAGCAGAAGCATTTCCGAACTGCTCTTAATGGATACTTTTGGTTAAGAGCCACATAAGAAACCRGCAATTCTATTTTCACTAGAGAAAATTGCTGCATGCAATTGCACAGCATGAAGGCCTGTATTATCAGCTGTAGCYTGAGCACCAGGCCCAAGCACTTGTGTTAATGTAGTATGTGTCTTGTAGCACACAAAGAGCATCCAAGTTCACCTTAAGGGGGAAAAAGGAAAAAGCAAGCCAGCTGCACACACCATGAGTTTATTTCAGGTGTTAGGCAACATTAGCACTGGCCAAACATGCTTATCAAACACGTGGATACTGTTCAGCCTGAAGCCAGGGTGCTCACCTAAGTGAGCYCACAGGTCTCCTCTGGCAGCAGTCCCCTGAGGATGCTGCGGTGTGTGGGCAGATGTCAGACACAGAAGAGAGATGTCATRGAGATGACCTGATGCTCAGCTACCCCCATAGCACTTCAGTATAATTCAGTTCTTCCAGACAAAGACAACCTGGATCTTGAATTATTCAATTGGAGCTGTAGGTGCTACGTTACCTCCTCTGCACTGTTGGAGACGGGCACTAAACAAATACATCTTCATAACTGCCCAGGACTCAGCGAGTCACTTTTGACTGTACTGGGAGCTATATGCTGAATAATACACAATAACTTTCCACTTAATACAACAAGCTAAAAGTTTTAACAAAATGACTCAAAATGACTTAAATAGTTATCCTAAGCCACTTGGCAAGGAATTGAAGGCTATGTACAAATCTTTCTCCCCCAGGGAATGCAGGTAGCAAAAAATGTAACAGAACATAARAAGTGCTATCAAAGCAATCATGACTAAGGTGAATCACCTACAGTCACAACCATGCTAACTTCCACAGCAGGACAGAACAGGGTTGCATTATCACTCTCCCACCAGCCACAGCCGCTCAGCCCCCAGCCTAGGCCTGGGGTTATTCCTCCCTAGGAGCAGGATTCTGTACTTGCCTTTGCTAAACTGCATGAGGTCCCTCTCCATCCATCTCATCTGTCCAGGTCCCTCTGGATGGCAGCCCAGCTCTCTGGAGTATCAGCCACTCCTCCCTGRTTGAGGACACCAACAAACTTGTTGAGGGTGCTCTGTCCGTTCAGCTAGGGCACCAACGCACAAATTGAGCAGGACTGGGGCCAGTATCAGCCCTGGCAACACCCCTGGGTACAGACTCCAAACAAGACACTGCACTGCTGATMACAAGCTGCTCAGCCCAGCCAGTCCTCTACCCATGCCACTGCTCACATAACAGGCACTTGCTGAGCTTRCCTGTGAGGGAGTTATGAGACTGTGTCAAAAGCCTGGCTGAAGTCAAGGAGGGGGGGGGGGGGCAATATCCACTGCTCTCCCTTCATCTACATAGCCAGTCACCATCACAAAAGGCTCTCAGGTTAGTTATGGGGGACATTGTGAACCTCAGCTGATCATCCCAGTCATCTCTGTCCTCCACATGCTTAGGGACAGCCTCCMGGATGAAGCACTTCTCCCTGCTTCCCAGGGACTGATGCCTACAGCCTTCCAGTAACCTGCCTTGCCCCTTCAGGGCAAGAGGTGATCCCCTCCTCACTCTTCATCCACCCCTAAACAGAGCTCAAAACATTCCAGTTGCTCTCACATAAAAAGCAACTGTCCCCCTTGCCTTCCCAGCCCAGCTTTCCCAAAAAGCACAKAGCTATAACAGCTCTCCAGTCATGTGACCTGCCCCACCATGTCTCTAACTGCACTGAGATCATAGCAACTGCAGATACCTCCTGCTTATTCTTCATGCTGTGGCATTTGGTACATAGGCACTTCAGGGGGTAATCAAGCTGGGACATGTTCCAGGAGAGGTGCAAAGGGACACCCCATAACCACATCTCCCACATTCTTCCCCACTTACACACACTGCCTGAAGACATCCCTACTTGAACTGCATTTCACTGATTGCCCTGTTACTTACCTCTCCCCTTCTCCCATCTTGCCTCATTTAAAGAGCAAATCTCTTTAGATAAAGGGTCAGGTGAAAGTCACCCACAAAAGAAAAAAAGTCACATACTGCTTCTTTCAATTGTTCCTGCATGGTATGGGGTCTATTGGCCCAGTTTCTTCCCTCAAAACAACACCCAGCTCCTCTTCAGCCTGAAGGGCACTGAACATACTTGTCAAGCTCAGGTCTTCCAAAGAAGGGCCTTCCCTGCTTGTACAAGATGMAACAAGTTGCCAACCTTTATCCACAGCGTTACCACATGCTGTTTCATACTGCAAGGATCTCTCTCAGATCTTCACTGCAACAGGAGGCCAAGACTCCTATAGCCACCTGGGCTCTAAGAATACCCTGTCTCCTGCCCATCATTTTGGATGCTCTGCAACCTACTGACTCGCTCCTGTAATTCCTCTTCCCGACCACACAGCTCCTCACTGTGTCCAAAGGACACCTTTGGCAGGAGTTGACTGTCAGCCAAGGCCCCACACATAGACCCCAAGCACAGCCTGCAGCCCAGCACCCGCAGAGCTACATCAGCCACCAGTCTGTGCTAAAAAAACAGACACAGCTGATGTAGCAGCTCCAACATCTACTGTGGACTGGGCTCTACTGTCTCATGACCATCTAGGAAGAGATATCCCCTCTGGCACCCTTCTGTGTGAAGTGTAGCATCTGCACACAGGCCTCTAAGGTCTGGCTCTTGTACAGACCACTCCAGCATAGACTCACAGGGTGCTTGACCCACCCTAATTGAGGGCCACTGAATCAAACACCCGACCCCTCCAACGCAGGCGCAACCCAATAAGCAGCAGCCCCACATGGCTAGAGCTACTCCCAGGAGAGCCCGAGGCCTCTTGCTGCTGTCCTTGCCTAGTTTCACTTTCCTGTTAACAACCCCCGGGGTCTTACACTAAGTTCCTAGGTACAAGCAGAGCCCAGAGTCACTGCTCCTCTCTGCCCCATATTCCAGTTACTTTACCAAACAGGGCTGGGGGTAAAAGTTACACACATTAATAATATATCACCCACATTACCACACAACCGCATAGCTCGAGAGATGTGGTGTTACTTACCCACAAGCTAGCAGCTGTGGGTCCCCTCCAACCAGCCTCCTCACTCSATGAGATTTTCATGATATCTTCGGCCATTTCTGATACCTTATCATTTTCACCTTATTTTCTCTTAAAGTCACCATTTTTCAGCTCCACAACATTTCAGTACAGCCAACTGGCATGGCAGTACAACACCAGCCCACACAACTGCTGGGACATTTTATAGCAWGCTGTAATCCCAACACTTGTCTCTTCTGAAAGATCAGACCTGAGCTCAACAGCAGCGTTAAATCTTTCATATAAGATTATACTTAAGGACGCATCACCAGGAACATCAGAGTACAGATCATTCGAGTAGTCTTTGACCCCAAGGGGCATCAAAGCAGCTGAATTAAAACTCCTCTGTCCAGAGGCATCCAATCCCAGGACCAAGCAGAACTCACAGACAGCAGAAGCCCTAACCAAGCAGTTCAATGGCTTGCCCTGCACAGTTGCAACCGAGCAACACCAAATACACAGCTGATTTCCTGTACATTGTGTGGGGACCAGTGGCTGCCAGACATGTCATTAAGGGCCAGTGTCACCTGGGCTATGTTACCTTGCAGAGCTTGACTGAGTATTATTTCGGGCCCACATAATCTTCATAGTTAATTCTTCAGAAACCAACAGGTGACATATGCTGGAAGACAGCAGCATTACCAGCCCCGGACCCGCTCAGGCCGAGCTGGGTGCCCTGKGGCGCCGCCCCGGGGGCCGGCAGCGCCCGAGGGGGCCGCAGGGCTCCGCTCCGCGCGGCCGCCCGCGCCAGGCGCCCGCTTACATAAGCGCGGCGCCGCCATGGCAACCGTTTACATAAGCGGCTCTGACTCACGGCGGCTCCCGCCGCAGCGGGGCTCTTGAACGGCTCCTTCGCGGGCAGCCGGGCGCGGCCCCCAGCGCCGGAGCGCTGCGGACACAGCCACCGTGCCCCAGGCTCCGCGCGGCCCCTCGCGCGCAGCTGCCGTTAACGGCCGCGCCAACGGCCGCGCGCCGCTCCCTACCCGGGCTGCGGCGCGGGGGCGCCGCCGGGCTGGTCTCCGCCGCCTCGCCGGGCGCTGCCGCGGCCGCCGCCGCCTCCTCGTCGTCCTGCGCGGGCGCGGGGCTGTCGGCGGCGGGCGGCGAGGGGGAGCCGGCGGTGCTGGCGCCGCTGCCGCCGCCGCTGTCCTGCTCCCAGCCGTCCCAGAGCCAGGGCCGGTGCGCCTGCTCCAGCAGGCGGCGGCTGAGCCGGTAGCGCAGCAGCTCCAGGTAGCAGGCGCCGCACGACTCCCACTTGGGCTCCTTGAAGCGCTTCATGTACTCCGTCTTGACGCGCCGCGCCGGCACCACCATGGCGGCGGGACCGGGACCAGAACCGGGACCTGCCGCCGCCGCCGCCCGCGGATCCCGCCCCCTCCCGCTGCAACGTTTAAATCCAAACAGCCTGGCTCCCGGCGCCCGCCCCCGCGCCGCGCCCGGCCAATCGCAGCGCGCCGCCGCCACCGCCCTTTGTGGCGTCACGCCGCGCACGGAGCCCTCACGCGGGGCAGCCGCCGCTCACGCGGAGCGCGGCCCGGCCCGGCCCGGATCGACTCGGAGCGGAGCGGGTCGCAGAGCGTCAGCCCGGACTGGATCGCAGCGGMGTGGAGCGGAGCGGCCCCAGCGCCTCCGAGCAAGGCGGGGGTGCGGGGCTCGAGGGGAAAATACAGTGAAATATTTAACTGTGCAATATCACAGCCAAAAATCTTAAAAAAAMAMCAACAAAAAARTCTAGAAAATTAATTACAAATGCACTAAAGCAGAGTATATTTGTCCCCTTTCTTCCAGCCTATTTTGCATGCAAAACCAAATCTTTYTTGCTTTCATTTAAAGTCAGATGAGTGAATCTGCAAAACTGGTGTCACTTATTGCCTTCCTAAAGCTGCATTCGGACTCCCAAAACGGTGTCAGATTCAGGCATGCTGAGCCCGCTTCCCTTCCCTTTGGCTCATGGGGGAAACATGTCCTGTGTTCTGGGGACGCAATGCACGATGCAGCCCCGCTTGCACCAAATTTTAATTTAAACCCCCGTTTAAAAYCCCGAGGTCTGGACCGAGTGTTTGAACTAATGCAGCCGGTGTAGCAATTTCCTTGGATGCTCCGGCATGGCGGGCTCCATAGCAGCAACGAAGCTCCGTGGGCGAGCTGGATTTTAAGACGAAAAACAGAGAAGGAGGCTGCTAGTAACAAACAGTAACAGCCTTTCTCTCTGCTGCCATAATCAGCTCTAAAATCCCTMCGTGGGGGAAGCGGGAATCTCCCAATCCGGTGTGGCACAGGCAGCTGCGCGGGCGGGCGGCAGCAGGATGCGCAGGCAATGGAGGCCTCCAAGGTTCGTGGAACCTCATGCTCCTCGTTCCCAGCGCGGCATCCACGTCCCGGGCATGAGCGGCTGCTCTCCTCGGCCCCATGGCTGTGGAGCCCTGGCTCCAGCGCCGTGAGCGCTCCCAGGCTCTCCCCACGGATCAGGCCGCGCTGCCGTGCCCGCTCCGCAGCTGGAGCCGCCAGCCCGTGCCGCAGAGGGTTCAAGGCACGGAGGCCCCCGCCGGGCGCGTCCCCCGTCCGACGCACGGGGGCACTGGCTGCTTTGCGCTAACGCTTGGGAACACCTTTTTTTTTTTTTTTTTTTTTCTCCCAACTTTGAGAAAACACTATTTTTTCCCCGCTTTCTTGCAATGAATGGCCAACCCACCTTAACTGAGGCGAATTAAAAAATCCAAGCGGACACAGACACCCTTGCTGGAAAAGCTAGGATTTAACAAAAGTTTCCGTGGCTTTAACGCAACAGGCAGTAATAGGGAGCCGTAAAAGCCTTTTCCCCTCTCAGTGTTTTTGTGGACTTTAATGTTCAGGAGGGSCAACCAACCCATTTTTTCTTCCTCCCTTGTTCCCTATCCCTGTCTGGGAGCAGATGGGCCATCCCCTGCCACCCTCAGTGATACCCCTGTGGTCCCAGTGCGATCCTGCTATTGCTCAACACCACCTGTCCTAACAGCAGTGTGTTCTTAGGAGATAACAAGGCACAATTTGTATAAAAATACCTGTAACTTGAGATATCACTGGAGTAGGCTGCCGTGGGGAGAGCTGGTTGCTCCTCCATGGGCCACGGCTCTGGTGTCCTGCTCTGCTGTTGCCCTTGCTCCCCTTGCACAGGTGATGTGAACAGGTTTCGAGTGCACGGGCAAGCTCTCAGGTCTGCAGTGTTTGCCTCTGTGTCTGGATATTTGTGCCTAGTTTCCTAGATATTTAACTGTTCCCATCAACGGCACAAAACGTCGCTGTGGGATGACTGGCAAAGGAGCAGCCTCGYGGTGGCAACGGCGCAGACACTGCCATGGTGCGCAGGTATCCGTCAGMGAGCAGGGCTTGCCCGCAGCGCTCCCCTGCCTGGGGATCCCTGTCGTGGCACAGGAGGGCTTGGCTGCGCTGGAGCAGCTTCCCTTGCTGCTGGGGAGGAGAGGAGCTCCCACGCTCCCACGCGCCGCGTTTCCTCACTGGGCTCTGCGCTCCTCGTGGCTGCTACCTCGTGCTAYAAGGGAGCTGCTCATCAGCAGGCCGCTCTGGGTCCTCCACAAGCGGAGCCATCCCGCCCATCCCAGCCAGGAGCACRTTTGGAAGTCCTGGAACAGGGGCCCAGGCTCCCCCAGGTGCAGATGGAGATGCAGCCACCCCGGGGCCTCCCCGRAGCAGCTCCACACGCTCGCAGCAGAGCTGTATAAACACTCCTCTCCTGCTTTGTTTTGSTTTTAGTCCTAATGGGCTTTTGGCTTCAGTAGCTTGTGGCAGAGGCTTTCAATGGCTGAGAGTGTTTAATAAACTCCTTAGTTATTAAATRATCCCACCTCCTGAATGACTCCTGAGTGAGACTCAACAGTATTTAAAATGCTGAAACTAACGTTAAAAAGTCTGAAAATTTCCGCTCTTGCATGTCCAGTTGGATTTTTTCTTCATTAAAATCAAGAAAAGAGACCAATCATATCATAACACCGAAATTCTAAGCAGATTTTTTCCTTCTCAAGTGCTTTTCCCCTAAGGATCTTAATTAAGCTACTTAATACTCTTGCTCATAGGAAAGCAGGCAGATAGCTAAGTCGAGGGTTTCCAGACAAACCAGTGGCAGAGCAGCGAGTGACAAAAAGTGAGTCCCGAGGTTATTTTGCACAACGCAATCACAGAAAGGCACGGTGCAACCATAGTTTTTATGATTTTTTTTTACATGTACTTTTTGGCTTTCAATCTTTCACCGCGGCGCTTTGTGGTGGTCCTAGGCAATAAAGGAGGGTAGAAGTTGGTTTATGCACACCAGGAGTGGAAGGCTACACACCAGCCTGGCACTGAAGCAAGCCATCTGGCTTCCCCCAACTGGGCTGCTGAGCTGCCTCTTAGGTAAAACCTGGGGGGAAGATGGAAAAATGGGGAAAAGAAATGAGCTGCTTCTCACACAGAACTGTATTTGTAAGTATTTAATTTACSCAAACAAGTAAAAATATTTTGACAGGTAGGGAAAGCAGGACTGCTGCACAAACTTCCTAGATATGTATCCATCATTGAAACTCTGCCAAGGACTGGGGGGAGCAGTCCCTGTTGCCTTGCAAAACAAGCCGTCACAGTGCTAACAGAAGCCCTGTTAGGCCTGTGGTTGCAAGGGCTTTGGGTTCATGGGTTATTGTCACGTTTAGGTCTGCACCAGCTCTGCACAGGCAGCACAGTCAGGAGACAAAGATCAGAAGAGTCTGCTCAGGTGCTGTGTGAGGTGGGTGGCTCTGCAGCATCACACTTTGCTGAAAAGTGCTCCAAGCAGCAAGAGTCAGAGTGGGGCAACCTGTTGATGCTGCTGCCCACAGGGTTATCTGCAGGCAYGCGTACAGTTACCCATGGAGCCCATATGCGCGTTGGGTTACTGTGATCCAGTGTTGTTTGAATGGATCCTGAACTAATGGRCAAGGATAAAAGGAAGTGAAGCTGGTAGCCCTGGTGGACGCAGAGTCCTCGTTAGCTGGTCCATGGACCCCACAACCCGCTCATCATGAGGGAGGTTCCTAATACCTCCCACCAGGCAGGACACGGATCATCCCAGGTCAGCTTGGACACAGTGAGACCCATCCAGGGTAAGTTGGAGCATCCCAAACGCCCCTCTACAGGCTTGTCAATGGATCCCACAGCAGGGCTGGCTGCTCTGCTGAACAGCAGCTCTTGGACATGAGCCCACAAAGCCACCTTTCTCCCCTACGGGAAGAAAAAGATACCTGGCTCAGAAAAGGGATGTGTAAGAAAACCACGTGCTCAAAGGCATCTCCAGACACCTAAACTCCTGTAGCTCAGGGTGCCTTTTGCCAAAACAGCCCACTGCAATTTCAGGAAGATAATTTCATGCTTGAAAAATCTTCAATTTGCAACTGAAGGGCTAAGCAAAAAGCCCAACTCAAACCAACAACAGCGTATTCCTGAATCCACTTTTAGGCATCAGAAAAAAGAAAAAAGAAGTGTTTGCTCACTGCTGACTCTTGCCTGATTTCACTCTCAGTTTGCAACATCTGTGCAACCAAATCTCGTGGCAAACACTGTTCCTCCCTGCTGGAAGCAGAGGAGTGGATCTCATCCCAGAGTAAACTACATTTCCAGAGCTTTTCCTGCCAGCGCAGGCTCGGAGGTCTCCGGTAACAGCAGCCCCGAGGCCTTGCCCTCGCTATTACCCCTTTGGGAAGCGCGCTGGACAGCAGGATTAGCACGTCTTATCAGTGAGCTGCTGCCATCAGCTGCCCCTTTGAGTCAGAGGAGCTGGGACCTCGGGAGAGCAGGACGGGGTCGGGGATGGCACGGGGTTTGGGGAATGGCATCCCTAATATGGTCTCAGCTGTGCTGACTGGCTGGGGGCTCCTGCCGGAGCAGTGGGCCCCTTATAAAAGCACCCAGGTCCTCTCATGAATGCAAACCCTCCTGGGACTTAGCGGGGAGCGAGAGGGAGGCTTGCTCGATATGGGAATTTCATGCGCCTCCTGGAGATTATCCAGGCTTTCTTAGGTTTCAGCGCTGCGCTGGGAGGCTGCCCAGGCTGTGCGTGCGCTGGCAGCGAGCGGGACGCGGGGGCTCGGGCAGAGGAAGCCCCGCTCTGTGGGTCGCTGCGCAGGCCGCTGCGCAGGCCACTGCGCAGGCCGTGCCCGCTGGCTGCCCGCTGCGGGCGGGCGGCTCCGTCCCGCGCTCCCCTCAGCTGCTCCCACTGCCGTGGCGGCACCGCGGCCCCCGCAGGTGTCCCTGCTGTGCCCCTGTGTCCGGGCAGGAAGGGTCAGGGATGGTCTGCAGCTCTCCCAGGGCACCATC